GAGATTTTTATCTGGGGAGGGCAGGGAACACTCTTTGTGCTTAGGGCAGAGGCCATGTGGGATGAAACAGAGTTTGATTTGTGTAATCCAACCATGTCAGACACCACAGCTAGCTCTTAAAAAAAAAAAAGCCTTTTACTGGCTGGGCCTCTCCCCAGGCAAGAGGCTGATACTATCACATCTAGTACATCTTTAGACCTGGCCAGACATCAGTTGTTCCCGGCCTCAGACAAGTGGGTTATCTTGCAAGGCTGACTTTTCTGTAGTCAGTCCATTGTATACTTGTTGAATACCTACTGTGGGTCCCTGCATGTTCCCCGTTATACAGGATAAATGCCCATTTAGCCACAGGGCCTGGCACACAAGTCCCCACTAACTGGCACACTTGTCAAAAAAACTGCCTTCATCCCCGGACCATAGCAAGAAAGTGGGACTGAGTTAAAGACAAACCTTAGGCCTCTAATGCCTGGTTGTACTCTCTCACCTGAAGACAGTATTATTACCCACCATGTTTGAACCCCTTCCCTTGGGCACTCACCTCTATTCTTTCCCTCCATGCCTTGGTCCCACCCTCTAGACTGAATTTGAATACTTCCAGTGTAAGCTTAAATTGCCACCAGCTTCCCATGCCTTGTAGCCCAACCCCTTAGCCCTGAGGGCACCTGCCTAAGCATTCTGGGAACTCCATTCTTTGCAAGTTCCCATACTTTTGTTGTTGTTGTTGTTAATCCTCACCTGAGGATATTTTTCCATTGATTTTTGGAGAGATTTTTTGGAGAGAGTGGAGGGGGAGAGACAGAGAGAGAAACATCGATGTGAGAGAGACATTGATTGGTTGCCTCCTGCACAGGGATTAAGCCTGCAACCGAGGTACCGTGCCCTTCACTGGAACCGAACCCGGGACTCTTCAGTCCATGGGCCAATGCTCTATCCTCTGAGCCAAATGGACTAGGGCAAGCTCCCATATTTTGAGAGGTGCTCAGGCCGAGTCTGGGAGAGCTGAGCCTTGCTCTGGGGTTTGCACTCATTAATCTGAGTTTATGTGCCTGCTGCTGTGCCAAGAAGCCGAGAGCCCGAGGCCAAGCACACTCTTTCCTGGTTCCCTCTTCCTTCTCCCCTTCTCCTCCACACCCTCTCCTGGAGGGATCCAGGTTCTCTGGCGTTCTGGTGTCTTTGTGTACTTCATCCTGTTGGGCAAAATGTTCATTTCCTTCCTCCTCACTGTTTCTCTCACTGGCCTCCCTTCAAGTCCTTTTTCTTTCCTTTCTCGTCAGGCCCTTTTGTTTAATTTTTAAAAAAATATTTATTGTTGCTCCTCAAAATCAGAGCATTCTTTGATTCTCTTGGTGTGAGGCAGCTTGGTTTCCTTTCAGAAAAGGGCCTTGTGAGGCTGCAACTGTGGCAGGAGAAAGCTAAGTGGCGTATGTGTGGCATCTGCTTATGCCCGGAGAAAGGGCTGCCGGGGTGTAAGCAGGTTCCCAGACTGCCCTTGCTGGCCTCGCGGCTGCCGCCGCCACTGACTTAACTCCGTACGGGGCAGCCTGTTCTCCAGGCCCACCCAGACCCTCCACCAGGCTAACTGGATTCAGTTGTTGGAGCTCTGAGTTGTAATCTTGAAGATAATTGTGGATGACAAACTCCGAATCACCAAACCTGAGGGCTGGAAAGCACCTCAGTGGTTTCCAAATGCCTGCCTGTGGCCTGGCTGCTGTAGAACCACCTGGGCAGGACTTACCCCTGAGTTGGCCAAGGCATTGCTCTGGTGGGAAGAGGCTGAAAGAGCATGAAGAAAACTCCAGGTCACGAAGTGTTTTCTTCTAGGCTATAGAATCATGGGGGATTTTATTTTCTCCTGTTTTTTTTTTTTCTTGTGTTTTCCAATTTTCTACAGTTAACATGCAATTACGTTTATGACTAAAATATACAATAAATGTAACTTCTGATTTTTAAACTAGCACTCAGGGAGCTTGTTTAGTATACAAATTCCTGGGCCCCTTCCCTGGAGATTCTGACCCAGTCAGTCTGGGTGAGGCCCGGGGATTCTGTATTTACAGCAGCACCTCAGTGGATTCTGTGATGCAGTCAGGCTTGGGAGCCTGCATTTCACTTGTAAGGAGAGTGAGGACTCACAGACAGGCTGGTGGGAGACCCCAGCTACAGCAAGGTCCTCTGATTCCTGGACCAAAGCCTTCCTTGCCAATTCATGAGCCCTGAGATCTGTCACAGGCCGAGGCACAGAACCTTGATCCTTCCTGAGGGCGGACCTGCGTGCCCACCTGTCCTGGGCCGGCCTGTGTTTCCCAGAAGACCCCAGCCTTCCCATCTGACAGCACTCTCTGGCCCACAGCTGTTTCTGGGTCCTCCAATACCCCCGGTGATGGGAGTGAGGCTGCTTGCTTTGCCTTATTCCCAGAGACACAAGGCAGCAGGTAGCCTCTATTAGAGGCATTGAGGGAGAAACTGAGGCATACAGAAATGGCATTGGGCCAGGTCCCAAATCATGGAATAGTGATCTCCCATCCCTGGCTGAATTGCTGTTTGGAGACGACTCAGAGAAGGGAGAATAAAGGGTTAGATTTGGTATAAAGAAAGGTAGATACAGTGGTACTCGGAACATAGTGACAGTGGGTAAGGACACAGCTCTAGGGTCAAATAGTCTGGACTCAGTCCAATCCCTGACACTTACCAGCTATGTGGCCAAGTTACCTAACTCTTTCAATGATCTCATCTGTGAAATGGGGATGATAATACACACCTATCTTATTGGGTTGTTGCGAGGACCAAAGGAGTTTAATGTATGTGTAACTTGTCTCAGAGTCACCCGGCGATCTTCTTATAGGTTCATGCTCTGATTTAGTAGATGTCCATTTCTAATAAGCTCCCAGATGATGCTGAAGCCGCTGGTCCATGGACCGCACTCTGAGAGGAAGACGTAAAACACTCAAAACAGAGCCTCGCCCACTCAGTGTTACTATTATTGTTATTATCACGGCTGTTATTGTTACGTGGCCTTTTTCAAACAGGCACCTGAGGAGACCGGGGATTCCAGCAGACTGGCCTCTCCAGGGACCGGGCTTTTCCTGGAATCTCCTCCTGTTCCAGCACATGGCCTTTGCACCTGTCCTGGGCAGCAGCTGGGGGGTGGGGGGGGGGTGCTCTGCCCAGCTGCTGCAGGCCTGCGTCTTCAGGTTTGCAGCTGAGTCCATTTTCACGCTGTTTTACTATAACCAGATTTTGTTAAGCCGGGTGTGTTTCCTCTTTTTACTCATCTTTGTTTACAAAACGCGAGGAAGCTATCAGTCTCCCCAGCCGCTGCCAGGCCTCCTCAGTGGCACGGCCCGGTTTTCCTGCCCCTCCCTGCAGTAGTTATGCCTCCACTTTGTTTTCCAGTCCTCCTTCTGCAGGGGAAAGAGTACTCTTGCCACAGGCATGGGGCATTCTGTTCTCCTGGGTTGGCAGGGCTCTGAGGTCAGCCTGAGCTGACACCTCACCTCTCTTCTGTTAGTGGCCTAAGGCAGCGTGAAAGGGAACCCAGCAGCCTGCATGCTTGTCCCGGGCCAGATGTACCTGCGAAGCTCTGGGAGTGCAGGAGACCTGGACTCACTTTCCAGTTCTGCTACTGACTTACCCTATCCTCTTCCTATCTGACTAGTAGTCTCCTGGTGGCGGCCAGGGCTGTGTGGTTAAAGACAGCCCAAGAGCCCTACCTGGTTTGGCTCAGTGGATGGAGCGTCGGCTTGTGGACTGAAGGGTCCAGGGTTCGATTCCGGTCAAGGGCATATGCCTGGGTTGCTAGCTCAGTCCCCAGTGGGGGGCATTCAGGAGGCAGCCAATCAATGATTCTCTCTCATTGATGTTTCTATCTCTCTTTCCCTCTGAAATAAATAAAAAAATATTTTTAAAAAACCCAAGAGAGGGCTCCAGCTCCCCTGGCCCTTGCTGCCTGGGCCCCTGCAGCAATACAAGTCCAGCCTGTGCTGGCTTCTTTCTGCACACTAGGTTTTTATTCCCCTGTCCACTGAGAACCCTGTGGAGAGGGCCCCAGCCCAGTCCTGCCCTGGCAGACAAAGAGAGAACAAAGACGGCCTCTTCCAGCACCCCTCAGGCCCCTCCTGGCCTCTTCTGTCCCCAGGGAAATGTACCTGTGTGGGTGGGGCACCAGCCCCCATCCTGTAAGCCACTGACCCCTGACCTTTGCCCCCAGCTTCCCTGCCTGACAGTAGGACCTGGGATGACCTCCAGAGAGTAGTGTGCATTCTTTGTTTTTGTTTTGTTTTCAAGTATGTTCTTGCTTAACGTTTAATTGGCTCCAGTCAGTAGGAAAGCGCTCCAAGAGGGGTTATTTATGGCTTACTGTCAAGAGCAGCTATAAAAAGGGCAGGCAGTGCTGAGCTGGAGATGCTGGGAAGGGAGAGAGGGCAGGCGCTCAAGTGTGTGTGTGTGTGTCTGTCTGTGTGCGTGTTTGCACTGGATGAAATCAGATTTTTGCTGCCTCAGCAGTGTGGTTTAAATTGAAGATTAACCCTTTGACCTTCACAGTGTCAAATCACTTGCAGATGGAGGCTCCCCCCTTTTCCCCCTTGTTCTCTGTGTTACTTTGGAGTGGGGGGAGGGAGGGGGGCACTTCTCTTTCTTTCTGAAGAAAGTTTGTTGTTCATGCAGCTGAGGTTTGAGGGGCTCAGGAGCCAATCTGATTAAAAGCAGCACTTGGCTAAACTCTGGAAAATCCTGCAAGCAGGGGAAAAAGTTTAATCCTCTTGTGCACAGTGCAGAATGAGCCTGGTCTTTTCTTTTTAATGTTAAAAACTGCAATTGTTTTTGGAGGACTCAGCTATCTCCCCCTCATCGCCGCTTCTCTTGCCCCCCCCCCCCCCCGCCTTTGCTGTACTGATAGGATTAAAGTGCCGCCCCAGACGTGTTGATCTAAACTTTTATTGGAAATGATAAGAAGTCATCTAAGGCTGCGTTGAGGAGTCACGTTGATTTTTCCCCCCTTTCAGCACCAGCAGAACCGAAATCGCATGTGGTGGCAGTTCCTCCTCTTCCTGCATAACCTCGCCTTGAATGGAGATGAGAACAGGAACGGGGCGGGGCCCAGGTGAGGCTGGGCTGCCCTCTTCGAATGGGGCACCACAGGAAGGACTTCCGCGAGGACTGACACTGTGTCATGTGAAGTTGTTTTTTGTTGTTCTTACCTTAAAATCGTATCTCTGTGTGTAAATAAGACATGCCCAAGTGGGACCTTTTCCCTGTTCAGGACCTTGACCGGGAATGGGGGCCTTTGTCAAACACTGTTGAAGTGGAGGCTGATGAGTCTCTGATGGTGGGTCCTCCCAAGGGCTCTGACAAGCAGATTCTTCAGCCCGCGGTTGTTGAAGATGGCCAGGTAGTGATGTTCTCTGGCCAGAGGACTGTAGTTTAGCCACAGGAACTCAGTTAAACCATAGGAAGCTGGATTACACTCCTGCTCCCACCAAACCTGTCAGCCTTCCGCCGTGGACGGAGCCGAGATCCGGACGGTCACACTGCTTCAGCGCACCAGGGCCTTGGTCGGGGGCTTTCCAGCTGAGCATGGCCACTTCGCTAGGCCACTCAGCCTCTATCTGGGTTCTCCTTCGGCCCAGCCGGTGCCCGCTCCAAGGGCTCAGGGATTCTTGTCCAGCCCCTGTCATCTCCAGCAGACCTCAGGGAGGGTTGGGTTTCTCCAAGGACCCCGCAAACATGCCTCAAAATGAACCAAACTTCTGTGTCGGCCTCACATCTGACTTGGTCCCACTTGGAGGCCCCAGGATTGATCCTGAGGTACAGAACCACTGCCACCTCTGGCTTCCTAGAACTGGCTGCCTGTCAGCCGTGGATGAGCCAAATAGCCAATCAACGTGCTGTCATCAGCAGCTTGTGCCTTTGTGGGCTCTTCTTTCCAAAGAACCAGCAACAGACTGCATTCCGGCCCCGATCAGCACTGTAGGGCATGAAGGGGCAGCACTGCAGTGGGACTGGGAAAGTGGCCATCCCTCCTGGAAGAGTCAGCCCGAGAGGAACCCAGACCACTTGGTTTCCTTGGAAACAACATACCTCCTCCTCCTTATTCCCATTCCTTATTCACACCTACTATAAAAGGTAGAAGGAAGAAGCCAGCACAGTGACTTTGTCAGCTGACATGTGTCTTTTTGAGCAATAGATAACGATGAGAGTGCAGAACCGTCAGAGCTGGGTGCACGTCTCCTGTCTTCCTTCGGCTCCCAGCTAGGCCAGCAGGGCATGCTCTGGCACTCAGCGGGATCGCAGCTGCCTCCAAACTTCCCTTCTCTCCCTGCTGTGGCGCGAATGGCGAGAATTTAAAGCAGCCAGTCTGCCAGCTCTGACCAGACAGAGAATTTGATTAACAGAACCTGTTAACAGATACCTAGAAATGAAATGATAATTTTTGCATATGTAGGAAAAGATAACATTGGTGCTAAACAGAGAAGCAAGGCCCAAAGAAAAGACTGCTTTCCTGGGCAGCGAAGACCCCGGGGCTACCCAAGGAAATCGGAGAAGTCCCGAGGAGGCTCTCACATCTGAACCAGCCAAGGCTCCTCCAGTTCTGCCAAGAGGAGGTCTCAGTACTGTTGAAGGAAGCCTTGATCCCTGTATGTACAGTTGGGAAGGTTGTTCCCTGCACCAGGGCATCGGCAGAGGAAGGTAATAGCGACTAAGGTCGAGCTCCTGCTCTGCTCACCGAGTTGTCTGCCCCAGTGCAGGGCTCAGTCTTCCCAGGAGAACTGGTGCCTTTGTATGAGGTGCCGTATGGGCTCATAGTGACCCTGAGGAGAAGGACCTCAAACTGTGCAAATGCCTTTGTTTTGTTCTACTTAGATGTTCTGGAGGTATTACCTTTTCTTGGCCAGAATTATATTCTCAGGGTGTGTACCATGGTGTGTCTGCTAAGGAGATGGGTTCTCACTCACAAGAAGGAACCCAGAGAACAGGCATGAGGACTGGCTCCGGAACACGCTGACCGTCGTGAAGTCCAGCCTCCCCTGCGTGTCATGTCATTCACGAGGTGCTGAGGGCCTGGTGTCCTCCCCTCCCCTGGACCAAGGCTACGACAGGCAGCGGCTGGTATATGTGCTGGAGTGGAACACACAAGAAAGCCACGATTATTTCTACCAACCATTTTTTAACCTCTCTTGGCAGACTTTCCACCTGAGCTGAGTGAGAGAGCAAATAAATGGTCTAGACTTTGGTGCTGAGGCAAAGCCATCCACTTCAGGGACCCTGCCAGGCCCAGGAGGGCCTGTGCTAAGAACTGAGCCCAGAGTTTGACAAGCCCATCTGAACATTGAGCCTGGGGCCTGGGGGAAGATGGTCCAACCGCACTATCTCCATCTTCTGTGAAGCCAAGAACTAACTCACTATGTTAAGCAAGCCAGGGCAACATTTAAAACTTCCTTCCTTTCCCATCCCCCAGAAAACCAAGGAGGTAACTCCCAGAATAGTCCTAGGAGAGAGGTTCCTCCTGGCTGGCTGTTTTCAATTGGCCTAGTGATCTAGGTCCCGCCCCTTCCCTCTGCCTGGTGAGTTGGTCTGAACATTCCTCAAGTCCAGCCTCAGGAGACATGTCCCTCCCCCTGGGCCCCTCTTCCCACCCCCACCCCCAGAGGCTTGGCTGTCTCCTGTGAGGGGGTGGAGAATCCGATTGAGAGGGAGGGAGAGTCTGACCTGGGTCCTGACCTGTAACCAGCTGAAGACTAGTGGGGCTTTTGTGGTTTGCTGATGGGTGGGGGTGGGAGAGGGACTGGAAGCCTCCCTCCCCGCTGTAGAAATGCCCTGGAGGAGGGGAAGCCTGCTTATTCAGGGTCTAAAAAGCCCTTCCGACTCAGAACCCCAGAGGAGGGGTTTCTGGACGCCTATGGACAGAAGTGGGGAGGCAGTCCCCCCAGGCCAGACATCTGACTTCTCCAGCCAGTTGCAAAGTCTGGGCTGCTGAAGAGCTGTCCGTGGCCTTCCCCTGCTCAATCCAAGGCACAAACAGATCACCTCCCAATGACCTCCCCAACCCCCTAGGGGAGTAGGTCTGTTTTCAGAGCTTGTGTGGCAGGCACATTCAAAGTGCTCAGAGGGGCCCACCTGACTTGTCTCACTGACTCCTGTGGCCAGGCCCTGCCCAAGGGTGGCTCCTGACTGGTCATGGCAGGGAGGGGTTGATTGGGATGGCCCATCTAGGTCCTCCATCTGCCTGAAGTCTTCTTGGAAGGAGGCTGGGGAGCCACTTGACTGTCCTAGGCAGCAGGGAGTACACTGCCCATGAAAGCTTGCCTGCAGGGGGGCTTGATGAAGAGGGAGTAGGGAGAGTAGAGAGCAGCAGAAGCAGGCAGGCTTAAATTGCCACTGCCCTCAGGGCCTCGGGGAATCAGCGCTGCAGCCCAGGCTGGAGGAAGCTGAGGGCCCCTCTGTGTGTAGGTGGGGACCCTTGGTGGCAGGCCACCCTGGCCAGACTTGCCCTAGGAAGGGGTTAACCTATCAGCCTGTGATGCCTCCTGGGGACACTGGGCAGTGGGCAGGCATGCCAGGGCTAGTGAGGACTTAGAGCCTGGAGGGAATGGCAGAGAAAGCCCGGCCCTTCCAGAGATGCACCAGCCTCCATGCTGAAGCTGACGGTGCTCAGAGCCTGTGAAGGTCCCAGGTCCACACTGCTCTTCTCTCTGCACAGTTGTCCAGAGCCTCTCCCTGCTAGGTGAGCATTGCCCGACGGCCACCCTGGGTCCACAGGGCTGTCAGGGGAGACCCAGTGCGAATGTAGCATTTTGTTCATCCCAGATTAGTTGCCCTGGGTTCTAGGCACTCTGCCTCTGGGAGAGAGACAGGGAAAGAGGGAGGGGAATGGGGACCCATTGTTTTTTAACCTGTACAGAGTATTTGACTTTCTGTTCTTCCAGTGTGTGTGTGTGTGTGTGTGTGTGTGTGTGTGTGTGTGTGTCTTCCTTCCATCAATTGGTACAGTTTTTAATAAAACCATTTAAAGCAAAACTGGTCTGTTTCAAGGTGTGGTAAAAGTGCAACGGGACCCATTAGGGAATTTGAGATTCCTAACTTGTGTCTCAGCTGCACTCCTGAGTTATCCCTGAGGCTCCTGGCTTGTCAGGAGTTCCCTTCCCCTCTGGGATTGGAGACGAGCCTTCTGACCACACAGTAAGCAGCACAGCAGAGGCCCCATGAGGTGGAAGACATGGGCTTTGGATCCAGATTTGAATCCAGTTCCAGCCTCCATCAGCTGAATGATCTGAGGCAAGTTATGTAACGTCTCTGAGCTGTTGGTTCTTCCTGTGTAAAATACAGCTGTGCCTGCCTTGCAGGGTTAAAGGGAATGTGTGCAAAGGACCTGCCCACACCTCCATTCCCCCACCCCTGTCAAGCTGGGCTTCAGTTTTCTTTTATCAAGGTAGCATCTCAGGAGGTAGGCTCCTTGTAGGGGGACTTCCTGGCTTGCATTTCTCTGTGGATTAACAATGTGTCTGATTCAAGAGGGTAATTTAAAGCTCTTGACAGAGTTCTGAAAATCCTCGGGGAAAACCACCCCTGGTCCTGTCAGCAGTAAGCCCAGAGCCAAAGGGCCAATGCGCCTTGCCAGCGCCGGGCCCCATGATTTAGGAAGCTGTCGGCTCTCTGAGGACCAGCCTTGGACTCCAGTTCCTCCCCCCATAGACAGTGGGAGTTTGAAGTGACATTGAACCGTCTTGTCTAACCTCTTCCTTTTATGGTTGAGTAAACTGAGGCCCAGAAAGGGGATGCAATTTTCGGTTGGGCTTTTTAAATAGCTGAGTCAGTCTGAGGGGGGCCTACCCCATCCATCTGGGTTTCCACTTGGAAATTGCAGTGCTCTTGCCCAGATCTGCAGGGAAGCCAAAACTTGTCTATTTTTAATGCCAAATAACTGCCTCTTCTCCTGTAAAACATGGCACTTCTAACCACTCTATATTTGGACGGAGAGGTTTATTTTTACTGGAGTGTGGGAGAAGTGCGGCCTGGTGCCACGTCCGGATGTTATTCTACATTTCACGTGCAGGGTTGTAGTTGAGCCCATTAGCAGCTCCTATGAGCTACACAGGGAATTAGTAGGTGATTGGTGATGTACTGTCTTTCTTTCAAGTCATCTGCTCCTACTTTGGGTACGGCTGCATTCAATTGCCTAGGCTAGAAACCTGAGAGCTCACCCTGTCCCCCCTGTCCCTCCCTTTCTCTTTCTCTCTGAACCCTTCCCAGGAAGTCCAGGGAGAAGTTAAAGGCGCAGCTGCCCAGGTTTGAACCCACGCTCTGCTGCTCACCAGCTGAATGGCACTGGGCAGGTCACATAGCCTTGCTGTGCCTCAGTTTCCTTATCTGTAAAATGAGATGACAATAGTATCTATTGAAGGTTGTTGTGAGCATTAAATATGTGAATATGTGTCAGGTGCTTAGAATAATGCTTGGTACATATTAAGTTGCCAATAAATGTTAGCTGGGCCCTGACCAGGTAGCTTGGTTGGTTAGAGCATTGTCCCGATATGCCGAGGTTGCAGGTTGGATCCTCAGGGCACTTGTAAGAACCAAGCAATAAATGCATGAATAAAATGCTTAAGTGGGACAACAAATTAATGTTTCGCTTTCACACTCTCCCTAATTCTCTCTAAAAATCAATAATAAATAAAAGGCCCCTGCCTCCACTCCCACTCTGTCTCCTCTTAAATAAATAAATAAATGTTAGCTGATAATATTACTTTTGTTATTGTTATTTGTAGGCAGCCGATCAATAAGTTCTGACCAGTATTGATTTCAGAGAGGAAAGGAGAGGAAGAGATAGAAACATCAATGATGAGTGAGAATCATTGATTGGCTGCCTACTGCACACCCCAACTGGGGATTGAGCCCGCAACCTGGGCATGTGCTCTTGACCGGAATCAAACCCGGGACCCTTCAGTCTGCAGTCCGACACTCTTATCTACTGAACCAAACCAGCTAGAGCAAGGTCTGATCATTCTTACTAGGAACTGTCTCTTGCACATGTCTTCTATCTCTGCTGTGTTGTTCTGATTTTTTTTCCCCCTAAACAATTGACGAGCCTCCTGATTGGTCTCTGCCAGCCTTCCTCCTTCCACAGTGACCTCTCTGCGCCAGAGGCATTTCTAAAGAACAGGCCAGATCCCATTGCTCTCCCCTGGAAAACTCGCCCTCCTGAATCAAGCTCACATTCCTTAGCCCGCCTCTCCAGCTATCCCCTGTATCCGAATTCTGCATTTGTATTCTGTATAATGGAATATTCCCAAGCCTAGCAGCTTCCAACCACAAACATTTATTATCTCACAGTTTCTGTGGGTCAGGAACTCAGAAGTGTCAGCCCTAGGTGGCAGCATGCTGAGAGATTGGTGTTAAGATGGAGATTTCCTGGAGCGCCCATTTAATGGACACGAAATCAACGGTACATGTTCAGTTTGGGGGTGTGTACAGGGGAGAGAGAGAGAAATGTATACGGTGACATAGTGTAGCAGATGGGTCTCCTGCCCTCCACTCCGTGAACATGTGGTGCCTGTAGAGAGTGTGACATGGGAACATGCATGACAGCCCTTTCCTGGCCTCATATCACACCAGCAGCGTATCACCCTCAAAGATAATTGTTTCTGGTCCAGTGTGCCCTGGCTGCCAGTGGCTTCCTCTGCTGCTCCACGGAGGCCACAGAGCCCTCTTCCAAGCTGAAGGAAAAGCGAGCTGGCTGGGGTTTCCTGAGAAGTGATATGTTTGCTTGTTGTACTTCCTGGGTGTCTGACAGGGTTTTTAAGGGCAATTTTCACATCATGTGATTTTTGCCTGACAAGAAGTCTTGGAACCAGTTCTTGTGGAAAACGAGACTCCATTGGACCACTAACCCCAGTCATCCTCCCTTAATCCCCTGCTTCCCAGGAGTGTTTGTCCTCCTAAAAAGGGAAGGCTCAGAATGGAATTGGAATTGGAATTGCCCTGAAGGGAGGTGAGAGTAAGTGATGTCCTCTCTGGCTGGTACTTTTGCTGCCATTCAAAGGTCCCCTGGCTCCATGCTACCTTGCAGGTGAATCTGGCTCTAGCATTTGCATTATGCCATGCCCTGCCCGTGAGGGGAGACAAGGTCCGCTGAGTGAGTCAACAGCACTGGCTGAGCCCCTTACCCTGAACAAGACACCACCCTACACCATGCAGAGATTTTAAAGAAGCAAGCCAGCCCCGGCCGGTGGGGCTCGGTTAGAGCATCGTCCTGTACACCAAAAGGTTGCCGGTTTGATGCCCAGTCAGAGCACATGCCCAGGTTGCTCTATTGCAAGAGACAGCCAATAAATGTCTTGCTCTCACATCGATGTTTCTCCCTCTCTAAAAAGCAATAAAAACTCTTATAAAATAAAGAAGCAGGCCACAGGATGCCCGCCCTCAAAATTATGTCCTAAAAGAAATCCAGTTGTGAAGCAGTGGAAACCCCGCCTGACTAGGATTGAGGAGACTGGGTTTGTAGGCTGACTCTGTCACTAACGGGCTGAAGGACTCTGGGCAAAGAAATGGCTTCACTTCTCTGGTCCTTGGTGTCCTCACCTATACAATGGGATCGGACCAGACTGCATATCTGTGAAGAACAAGTAGTACACAAACTTAGAGACCCACCCTGGCCGGGTAGCTTAGTTGATTAGAATGTCGTCCCGATATGCCAAGGTTGTAGGTTGGATCCCTGGTCAGGGCACATACAAGAACCAACCAATCCTATGTAATGGAAGCATAATATGCAAATCGACCAAACAGCAGAATGACCAGTCAGCGGGGGGCAGGGCTGGTGAGCAGGCGGTGCCAGGCCAGCCAAGGTGTGTGCTAGTGGGCAGAGGGAGGGGACAGCGATTGGGGGGGAGCAGCGGCAGCGGAGGGGAGACTGGGGGGCTGGGGGTGGGCAGGGCCGGCCGCTCGCTGGCCGGTGCGGTCCCCTGATCAGCCAGCCTGGTCGCCTCCCACATAGGGAGGCCAGACTGCGTCAGTCAGACATCCCCTGAGGGCTCCTGGACTGTGAGAGGGTGCAGGCTGAGCTGAGGGACCTCCCTGAGTACACGAATTTTAGTGCACCGGGCCTCTAGTGAATGCGTAAATGAGTGGAACAACAAATCAATGTTTCTCTCTCTGTCCTTTCTTTCCTCCCTCCTTCTTTCTCTAAAATAAAACAAATTGTGCACACAAAACTTAGAAGCCAAAGCCCATTCTTTCCTCTTTCTGTGCCTGACTTTGCTTATACCACAAGAAGTTACCTCTGCCTCCTAGACATTTCGACCTCTGTATACACCATAAAGGAGGACAGTGCAATCTCTGGATGCACTTCATTTATTATTCTGCCTTCTGGATTTCAGAGATGCACACTTCTTCAGCACACTCGGAGACTGGAGCTGTGACAGTGGTCTGGTTCTTTTGGAGACCCCCACATCCACATGCAGACAGGGTATTTGTGGCCACAGTTGCCTTGCAGCCCTGCTATCTTAACCAGCTGAAAGTGGGCAATAAGCCACATGCCATTCCATAAACTCAGGGAGGAAAGGGGCTCTTGCTGAAGGTGTCTCAGGATTCGTGCTGAATGAGCAGGTGGGGTGCAATCAGTCACTGAAGGTGGAGGAGAATGTGGCCTGTGGCCCTGAGAGACCCAGGAGCTGTCAAGGGTAAAAATCAGGGCGCTCTGGGCAACCCTGATAAAAGGTTCTTGTTTTTCACCTGAGTGAGTCCAGGGTTCTGCCGGGTGAATTTATCTTTGAAGAGGAGAGGGTTCAGTGCCTGGTGGCAACCTCATTTCCAACACATCATTACATTTGCCAAGTGCCCTTGAGCACTGGGCAGCAGTTTTATAGGTACTGTGCGCGCGCACACCCGCACATACACTCAAGTGAACTGGGTACTGGTTACTGTTTTTTAATTATGTGACATAATTTTTGATTTAATGTTATTTTTCTTTTTTCATTAACTTTAGAGAGAGGAGAGAGAGAGAGAGAGAGAGAGGAACATCGATGTAAAAGAGAATCACCAATTGGTTGCCTCCTGCCTGTGCCCCAACCGGGGATTGAACCCAAAACCTGGGTATGTGCCCTGACTAGGAATTAAACCAGCCCCCTTTCGGTAAACGTGATGATGCTCCAACCAACTGAGCCCACACTGGCCAGGGTGAACTGGGTACAGTTTGTTTTTTTAATGAATTGATTAATTAGTTAATTAACTGCCTTTGCTTCTTTATTTTTATTAAATTTATTGGGGTGACATTGGTTAAGAGGATCATATAGGTTTCAGGTGTAGATTCCTATGATATAAGATCTGTATACTGCACTGTTTTAAATAGCAACCTCGGAAAAACCCATCAGCTCCAAGTCTGGCAGATCAAGCCTGGGGCCAGTGAGGCCCCGGACGTGGCACTGCATCCGCGTGCTGCTGCTGATGGACCTTCCAGCAGTGATCCCTCCCCGAAACTCGGAGAAGAGCTGGAGACATGTCAGTAACTGGGGAAACGGAACCCCCGGTAAGACTAGATTTCAACCCATCAGGACCACCTCTCACATGGGCAGTCCCCACTTACCCAGTACAGTTATCACCACTTTCTTGTCCAGTGCGTGCCAGTGTGTGAATGGCTCTGTGAATGTCTGATAGACTAAAGGCTCCTGGTGGCAGGACCTGGTCTGTCTCATTCACTACTGTATCCCCACCATCCAGCAAAGAACTTGACACTGGCACAATGCTAAGAAATCTTTGCGGAAGGAAGGAGTGGTGAGTTACAGTTGGAAGAATGGGGTGAGTACTGATGCGATGTTCAGCAAGGTGTGCCACCACTGCCATGTTCATTTCTGAACTCCTTCTGAGGAGGCTCCTGGATCCAGGCTTTGAGTGATCTTTGTTTCCTTTTCCTCACCCGACCAAAGTCTGACAGTCAGATTCTATAGATTTTCAGGAAACTTGACCCGCTCATTTCAAATACATTCAATGCAGGAATATCTGGGCAGAGGTGGGATTGGGGAAAGGGCACATTGGCACCGGGGCAGGTGGGCTCTGAGCAGTGTAGGAGAGGGGGCCAGCCCGAGGACCACCTGCCTCACTCAGTATTGACCGTGAGCAGAGCCCAAGCTCACCAAGTGCCTGTGGGTCCCCAGCACCTTGGTGAGTGATGCTGCCAGTGGGCTGCTGCCGCCTGAGGGAATAGCCAGGGTGGGCTGAGCCAGCAGCCTGCCAGCTTCCCTCTTGCAGTGCTCTGCCAACCACCAGCCTCCCCCCTGCTGAGGAGGGCCGATGAGGAGGAGATGTGGTCCAGGCTGCCCTGCTCTCTTCTCTGGCTCATCCCCGCCATCCAGGGAGAGAAGGAGGGGGCGCTGGGGGGAGCACTGGCACAGGAACAGCCTGCAGTGTTCAGATGTTAGGACTCCAAGGAGGTTCTATTGGATTATCTATCAGCCCCACCCGCTCCCAGGCATTGCTTTTGCTTCCAGTTGCTTCAGCCTGCCTTCATCTCAACACTGGCTACGGGAGAACATGTATTTCTTTGCAAGCCAAGGGAGCTCTACTTATTTTTTTTAAGGTCTTAGCTCTACAATGAGCCACAAACAGAAGCTCTCCCCATGGGAGCCTCTGAGCCTGACACAAAGAGTTAACCTCCCGCCAGTGGTGTCCTATCAGACCCTTGAAACCTGTGTCAGCCTCTTTCTCTCTCCCCCTGTGTTTAGCCTCGGGACTGCCAATCGCTTGCTCCCTGCACACAAAGGCTCCTCTGTTTCTGGCCAGGCTGGAGTCACATGTTTTCACTCTTAACCCCAGAGCTTTAAAACTAAACACCCACCCTCTTTGGCCCCAGATGACCCTGTTTACGTCTGCTGAGCCAATTCCAAACAGCAACAGTAGTGAAACCCTCTGTAGGGAGAGACTTCTTGACTGTGGTAGTAAGAGATCAGATCTTCAATGTTGTATAACCGGAGGACTTTAAGACATTTTGGGAAACGACTTAGAGAAAAAAATATCAGGAAGCCAGCAGCCTGCCCCAACTTCTCTATTTTCTGAAGTGTCTCTTACCAGAGAGCCCAGGGACTCAGGTTAAAGCTCTCAAGAAACAGAAATGGTGAGCAGAGTGTTAAGGGCTGAGAGGAAAGAACATTCTGGATTTTCTTATTATTAAGATCCTACTTTGTTTAACTCTTAAGAAAAGGGATATTTTCTTTCCTTTTTAATGTATGATTACTTTTTATGAAGGATATTCTCTTTGCTGCACATCACTGAGGGTAGGAACAAAAGATTCCCTCTTGGGTTTAGGGGACTGACCTGTAAAACTATAGGGGCTTCTGGAGAGGAGGTCTGGACTGTTCCATTCCACAAGTCTGGGTCGGAAGGATTTGTGTTTCTGTTTTTCCCCTAAAGATTCCTTTTCTTGTGTTAGCCCATGCTAGCTGTGAAGGAAGTCAAGTTTCCTTTGATTGTTCTTATCCTGATCAAAGTGGTAGAAGTTGAAGGGAAAATACCAGAGTCCAAGCATGCTGGTAACATTGGAGGCCCCAGATTAGGTGTTTGTAAACAGGACAGATAACAGAAATGACCAATTGCCTGCCGGTTTCATGTTCACCCCCAAAGAAAGAAGTGGAGCCAAGCAAGCCAGTTCCATGTCCGAGGTGTCAGTGAAATCCTTAGGCAAGGAATGGCAAATAAGTTTCCTCTCTAGTGATGACACGGAGAAACTGGCGGCCACCTGTGTTGGGGAGTTCCGATGCTGCCTCCTGGCTTAACAGAAGAAAGTCCTTGTGATCAAAGAGCAATGTCTGCTGGGCATGGGAAGAGGAAATGCTAGCACGTACTTGCCACCCCTGTCCTAGTACAATGTCAGAAGGTTAGATTACTGTACATATGCTAACATAAGTAGAAAACAGGCAGTTCCAGAGAGGAAATGGTAGACAGGATGAGAGAAGATGTAGTAATTATGGCAGAGACAGTGGTGCTTGCTAAACATTGTATTTAGTCCTTCATGTTAGGTGGGCCATGTGACAAGTTGTGAGCAATAAAGCATAAGCAGAAATGGTGTGTGTCACTTCCAGGCTGGGGCAGAAAATACCCATGTACCGTTCTTTACTCTCTCATCCCTTGTTCCGTGATTGAGTGGGCCTCTTGTTCCAGATAGCGCAGCTACAATATGGTGTAACTTCTGTCACCCTGGGGTCCCTGAGGACTGTGTGGAGCCAACCTGGGATGCACACATAGCCTAAGAGAGAAAAAAACCTCTCTTGTGTCCACTGGAATTTCAGAGTTACTTTATTACTGCAGCATACCCTGGTCTATCCTGACTAATAGTAACGAAAGGGGAACTTTTTTTTTTTCATTTTCTGCCCATATTTGAGATCACTATTTCAGAAATACGAAATAATAAAACTTTGAAGGTTATTTCTGGTGCATGTGGGAGTTGCCAGTCTGAAAATGACATTTGAAGTAATAATTACAATCCTGCAAAATAGTGAAAATGTATTTGAAAGTATAAGCAATATATAAATATAGAATATTTTAAACATTAGTACTAGTACTTACTTTACCAATACTACCATCACTGCCTGGGGCCAGAGAAGATGGTGAGGAGCATCACTGACAAAAGAGAACAAAGAGCTTTGGATTTATGAAAACACAAATGTAAAGGTTTTTGAGCTAGAGAAATCCAGATATAATAGGTAAAAGTGCCCTGGCAGGTGTGGCTCAATTGGTTGAGCATCATCCCATGCACCAAGAGGTTGTAGGTTCTATTCCCAGTCAGGGCACATGCCCGGGGTTGTAGGCTGGATCCCTAGTAGGGGTTGTGCAGGAGGCAGCCAATCAATGTTTCTCTTTCTCCTGCTTCCTCTCTCTCTCTCTCTCTCTCTCTCTCTCTCTCTCTCTCTCTCTCTCTCTTCCTCTATAATCAATAATAAAAAAATATTTTTAAAATATTTAAAAATAATTAAAAATTTCAAAATTTTTAAAAAGAATTAAAAATTTAAAAATAGGTAAAAGAGACCTTGACAATTTAATCAGATGTCAAAGGATTTCTTAGGGGAAGGAGGGAAATGCTGATGACTCCTGATTGCAATTAACAAAGTATTTCCCTGCAAGGATCTATTCACCAACCTCTTCCAAAATGTTTGTACAGATGGTTCAGTTTACACACTTGTTAAACACAGGGATTGTTGATCAGTTTTCATATTTTCTTCTCAACTGCTGTTCTTCCTTATTTCCCACAACTATTAGTATTTGTAGTACTGTGCAATTGCCCAATCTATTTGCTCTCCTCTGCTGGCCACTTCCCATTCCCCTATTTCAGAGCTCCATGCAGTGTTCACTGTGATTATAACCATTTAAGGTTTTGCTCCTTGTTCTTAGGCTCTATAAATCTTTGTTTCTCTGGTTATTTCTTTAGGAAACATTCCTAGAAGTGCAATTTCTGGGTCAGGGATGTAAGGAACGCTAGCTGCTCTATTACATATACCCCAAACATCTTAAAGGCTTAACACAAAACAAGTTTATTTCTCACTCACACTGTTGTCTACTGAGGGTGTTTGGTGGGTGGCCTTTGATGTGGTGAGTCAAGGATCCAGGCTCCTTCTAGCTTGTCACTTGGTCAACTTCACAAGTACCTTCAAAAGCCACTACAGATGGGGAAAGAGGGGGTGGAAAAGGCACATCTGCTTCTTAGCCACATCAGTTTGGAAATGACACACACCATCTCCATTCATTTTCTGTTTGTGAGCACTAGTCACGTGGTACCACACTTACTGCAAGAGAAACTGGGGAATATAGTCCCTGGCTGGGTGGACACTTCCCAGCATCACCTGCACTCCATGGAAGGGTGCATAATGGTGCACAGATACCATTTCTGGCCACAGAGGGTATTCCAAGCCCCTGTGCATTAATGCTGCTAGGAAAGTCCCAGGCACTGTTGGTCACAAGATTGACTAAGACAGCTAAAACTTCCTTCTCTTACTGCTAGACTCAGTGGATCCCTTTGATTCCAATGGTGTGATTTTCAGGCTCCGTGTACCTCCTTTTTCTTCCTCTTTTACCCCATTTCTTGGCAGTCTTGCTGAAGGGGGTAATTTCCACCCTTACTCCTCTTTCCTTTTGGGAAGTTAGAATTTTTGCCGACTGCCCTCACGTCTCCCTTTCCCCAGAGCATGAACAGATATTCCTCTGCCAGTTGAGTCTGCTCCACAAGGGGCCTTTCTGGAAACCAGCCCCCTCTATTCTTTTGGGATTTAAATTTTCAGGGCATGTTCTTGCTGCCTTTTGGTCTACCGTCCACCTTGTCTCCTGGCCTGCTCACAGTCCTACCTATTTCGTCTGGTCCTCAGGCTGGGGATGCCCAGTGCTGACCTGGAAGGGAAGGCTTGGAGCCCAGGGCTTGTCCTTGTCCTGGCAGGCTCCTCTGCAGTGAGTGGTTAAGCCTGGCATGGGAACAACGGGCAAGGCACCTCTACACCTCTGTTGACTCGTTTTAATCGTTAGAGGAGGAAAGAGGGAGAGCTGGGATGGAGGAGTGATGTCAGCTGTGTTTACACACTCTTCTGAGCATGAGACTAGTTTTCTGGGGCAGTTAGAATTGACCGAGTAGAGTGCTGAGCAACCCTAATGCCTTGGGAGAATCAGAAAACTCCCAGTTTGGGGCAGGAATGACTGACTGCTACACATTCTGGAATCAGAGGCCCATTCTTAGACCACTGGGATTCAAGGTTCTTCCCAGTGAGTAGCCTCAGCCACTAAGGCAGCAGGTGGGGCAAATTCCCCTTTGTCAGAGGCCACGAGGCAGCGTGACCAGGAGAAGCAGATTATAAAGACTCCATCACCTTCTTTCAGAATTGGTGACTCAAGTGCTCTAATGAGAGCTGCTCATGTTCTTCTAGCCCAGGGGTGGGCAAACTTTTTGACTCGAGGGCCACAATGGGTTCTTAAACTGGACCGGAGGGCCGGAACAAAAGCATGGATGGAGTGTTTGTGTGAACTAATATAAATTCAAAGTAAACATCATTACATAAAAGGGTACAGTCTTTTTTTTTTTTAGTTTTATTCATTTCAAACGGGCGGATCCGGCCAGCGGGCCATAGATTGCCCACGGCTATTCTAGCCCCAGGGGCTCTCTCTCCCGCTTCTCCCTCTCCAATCCTCTGAGAGTCTAACTCCACAGCAAGGCGTTGGCAAAGAGACCCCAAAGTCAGGGAGTTGCTGACTTCTGACCTGCCTTGTGCTTCAAAGGACCCCTTGTCCCCCAAACATACACACACCTGCTTTCAGGATAACCCTCATAAATGGACCATTTTTGATGGGGGAGGGAGGAAGACACCGATTTCCTGGAGAGGGGGGCGGGGGGGGGGCGGGGGGGGCGGGGAGCAGCCGAGAGAAAGCTGCTGCGTCTGGAAAGGAAGCCAGAGAGGAAGACAGAGTCTCTTTGAACTTTTCCCACCGAGCTGATAGGAAAATGGCAAAAACACCTTCCGACTGGATCAGGATGCAGAGGGAGCAGCCAGGAAGGCCTGGCTCCTTTGAAGGTTCCCCGCCCCGGGTGAAGTGCGGCTTCTGGAGGGGACACCAGCTGCAGTGAGGAGCGAGCCTGGTTGCCCAAAGCCACTTCACACGGGACACGGGCTCTGCAGTGCGGTTGTGTTCCAGGTGGTCACCAGAGCCAGACAAAGGGGGGATGTGAGAAGTAGATGCTGACGTGCTGGCCGGGGACAGGAGGAGATCAGGAGGAATGCAGGGCCTTCAGGGGAGAAGGAGAGTTGAGGAAGGACAAGGCCATCTGGGACCCCAGGGACACTGCGGGTGAGGACCAGCATTGGCCCAGAGGGACCGGGCCCAGGAAGGTCAGTGCTGGCCCCGGGCAGAGGGACTGGTAGGGTGCAAGTAGAATCCACTATGTAATTCATGGGACTCAGTGCCAAATGAAAATGTGGGCCCCTTGTTAAAAAAATTTTGAAGAATTTTAAGATGGCAACAGCAGGGTAGTAAACCAAGTGCAGGCCTTACTGAGCCCAGGGCCCTCCGTGGCTATGGCTGCCCAGGTCAGAGCCGGCCCTGGGTGTGAGGGTCCAGTGTGAGAGGACTTTGAGCTCCTGTGTAAATGATGCCAAAAGGATGAGTCTGGGCTGTAGATGTGAAGGCCAGGAGTGAAAAATCCAAACTCCTTGAGTCTTTTGGTTTTAAAAAATATTGTGGAAAAATAAAGACTCTCCATTAACAACGCGTTTATAACTTTATAACAGGCCTTCACATCTCCAAAACCATATAACAAAGGTGACAATTTTATGAGCCAAGTTATGCATAGCACGTTTTATGTTCCTAAACGACCTAAGTGGTTTTTGTAGGTCCTTAAAGGACTCTAAAAAGTAAATGTGGAGGGGGGAAAATATAATTGTATTTCTCTTTAGATTTTTAAAATATGTTTTTATTGATTTTAGAGAGAAAGAAAGGGAGAGAGATAGAAAAACATCCATGTGAGAGAGAAACATCAGTTGCCTCCTGTACATGCCCCGACAAAGGCTGGAACGCTCAGCCTAGATACGTGCCCTGACCGGGAATCGAACCTGTGACCTTTCAGTGCATGGGACAACCCTCCAACCAACTGAATCACACCAGCCAGAGCCATACTTCTTTTAGAAAAGTCATCCCCCACCATTCCTCCTTTTAGTACAAAATGTCTGGGCATTTCTCATCCCTAGTCCAGGCCAGTTTTGCTTCTTGTCACTGTGTCCATTCCATCTGAAGGCCACAGTTCCCCAGTGTTGCTAGAGCTGATGTCACTTAGTGGGCCACACATTCCCCCCCTCCCCAAGTCCCACTCACCCTCCGCTAGTCAGTCATTACACACACCAAACGCCCCCTGAGAACAGGGTTCGTGGGGAAGGATACGATCCAGTCTTAGAGCTTGAGGAGGGAAGCAGGGGAACTAAGAGCTGGAGGAAGAACGGGAAGTGGCATGAGATCTAACTGCTCTACCTGGGCCCGGGGGTGGTCCATTTCCAATGCCTCTCACTCCTCGGTTCAACTTCCCTCCCTGGGCATTGGGGTGGAGGGGTCCATACCTGCCTCCTGGGATGGGATACACCACCACCCGCAGCTCCGAAGCTGTGGCATGATCCGGCTCTAGCAGGACCTGACCTCCCTGCTCTCCACCTGCGGCCTCAGGGAGCAGGGACTGTCACTCTGGGATGTGACCAGGTGTTTTCTCTCCTCAGTGGGGTTCCCTAGGCCTCTCAGGGACCATCCCCTCAAATTTGGAGACTCTTCCCAGTGGAATGACTGGTGTCCCTGATGTCAGGCCAAACCTGCACAACCTTGGCTCAGCAAGACTGAGAGCATGGGTCTCCTCAGCACAGGGCGAGGAGCCGGCCGGAGACCCGGGGGTGATGAAGAGTCGTATTATACTTACTCTGTTGCCCAGGGGAGGTGTCCGAGGAGAGTCGTGGAACTGGAAGCGAACTTTAAAAAGCAAAGCATTTCCTTTCCACCCAGGCAAGCCTGGCTTGTAAACTGCAACATGAACACCTTTTAAGCAGAGAAGTGAAGGGAACCAAAATTTTGTCACCTTGAAGCTGCCTTTTGGGATATTGATGTTAAGCTGTTTACTAAGAAACAAGACTCAGAAAGAACCTTTGACCCTCCCCCTTTTCCTGCCCAAGAGATTCAGACCAGAAACCTGCTTTCGGGAGGGAGTCCGGGCTTGACCACCTTAGGAATCTTCACCCCAGCGTTACTCCCAGCCCGCTAGCCGGATGCCCTCTGTGTCCCACTGTGGAGCAGCCCAGCGAGCATTTCCCTGCCGTGTCCTTCCTCAACTACCTGTAAATCACCCATTCCCACTTTTGAAATCGAATACCCTGGCCTCTAACCCTTTTCTCCTTTGTCCAAAAATGTCACAATAAACCCAATATTGCCTCACTGTCTTTGGAATTTTCATGCTTATTGGAATCCCCATGCACATGTATTACAATTTGATTTTCTCCTGCGAATCGGTCTCAGTGGGTCTGATGATTAGCCCAGCCAGAAGGATTTGGAAGGCGGGAGGGAAGCACTGGCTTTCTGTGGCCCCCGCAGAAGCTGAGAAGAGCCCTTCAGGTTGGCTCCCCTGCGTCCGGCCCCACTGGCTCTCCAGGGCGGGGGTGCTGCGGCGGAGCTCAGCCGAGGGGCCCCGCAGGGCTTTGGGGCAGGAAAAGAAAGACCTCACGGCCCCCCCCCCCCCCCCCCCCCAGTCTGGAGACGAATTCGGGCCGCTTTACCTGCTCTTCCCGCCCAGCCTAGCGGCCCCCGCAGCTTCTCTCCTCGCCACGGCCCCTCCCCCGCCGCCCCCCTCCCGTCCGTGGGGCCCAGAGCAGCCTCCCCCGCGGCCGCGGACAGGGAGAGGCCGGATCTGGGGCAGCCCCCTGGGGAGGACCAAAGGTCGGGCCGCGAGTCCGGGGCTCGCCAGGGGCCCTGCCCCACGGGCAGGGGCGGCCGCCCAGCCGGCGGGAGCGGGGCCAGCGGGGCCGCGGGCGCCCGGGGCCGGCGCACGCCCTCGTGGCCGGGTGACTGGCTCTGCCAGCTGCGGGCCCGCCGTGCCAAGTCTGCCCTGGCTCCGTCTGGTCGTAATCGATGCTGGCGCCGGGCCAGGCCCCCTGCCAGCCCCGGTCACACTCGGCTAACGCGAGAGGCCCAGCCCATTAACTCCTCGCCAAGGCCATTGTCTGGGTCCCTGCCCGCTGGTTTATTTACTCCCGGGCTGGGCGGTCGGGCCGGGAGGCGGCGGGGCGGGCGGGTCAGGGGACGCGGCGGCGGGGAGGGGTGCGGGGTGCGGATGGGGGCGGGGGGCGGGGGGCGGGGGCGGGGTGGGGGCACCGGCCGCTGGTGGGTGAGGCCGAGGGCCGGCTGAGCCCAGGCCCGGGAGGCTGGACGGCGGCGGGCAGAGCCCAGGGCTGGGCGCGCTGGAGAGGGGCTCGTGTCATTTACTTTTGTTGTGTTTCTGCCACATCAGAGGTTCCCTAAGGCAGAGCGGGACAGATGCGCTTCCAGAGGCCAACCCGGGCCGTGGGGTGGGGGGGGGGTGGGGAGGTGGGAGGGGGGGAGCAGGCGCTGTCGGCGCGGGCGGGTCACGGCCTCCCAGACAGTGGCCTTCAAATCCTCTAAACATTTTTTCTGCATTACATCCCCTCCTGTATTTTTTTTTAATTGGCATTTAAAATTTTTCATCAGAAGCTTAAATAGTTCCAAAGACTCTCCTTTGTAGCACTCGATGAAAATGGATTTTTTTTTCACTTCTATCTGCCTTTATTTGATTATATATTACAGTCATTACGAAAACTCCAAGAAAAAGGAATATTGATATTTTAAAATAAAAATAATGTTAATGTCCAGGGGACTATAAACATCATAGCAATTTGACATCCTTCATTATCCATTTTAAAAAGTTGAGAAACACACTGATTCTTTAGCAGCTGGAAGTTTACATTGGTCCTTTCCTCCCAGGAGCTTGTATTTTCATCCCACCTCATTATAGAGTTTATCCGACTGTAATACAGTTTATGACTGAAAAGTCTTTTATTGAGTAACACATCAATACAATTTTTAGTTAAAACTCTTTGTTCATAAAACTCTGTTAACAATTTTTTTATGATTTTAGTTGTGTTATAGTGATTAATGCTTGGTTGATCAGAACAATATAAATAACTGTAAAATTTGATATACAACTATTAACAAAAAAAGTAAAATTTTATTGGAAATACATCTTTTAATGAGGTGGTAGGGACAGGTTTTTTTCCCAATTAGCCGAAGCATATATGGATGACTATTACTTATTGCTAGACTAAAGGCTTAGCATCTATTTTATTGCCATGTCTTATTTTTATAGATTTAAACATTCAGAAACATTGTTTAGATAGATGATAGAAAATTAAATGGAAACCAATGAGCTTTGTAATAGAAATGTCATTCAATTCTTTGAACTTCTTCCAAATTACATGCCTAATATTGTTAACAGAGAAGAGAGGGCCTTGTCTCCCCCAGTTGCTAGTAGGGGTGGGATTCTTGCCATATCTGAGAAAAGGAATTTTCTGAGACTCACAAGGGAGGATGGCATATAGTAGTGTTGTGGAAGACCGAAGAAACCCCAGCGTCACTTAGAGAAATGGAGTTACACAGCGTTATTATGCCAGCGTTCTCAGAGGAGTTGCCTCTCAAAGTCTGAGCAAACCAATATGGTGGAAGCTCTTCTTTATATCCCTTTGGTGTCTTTGTCCCCCAAATATGTAATGGGACTTCCGGACCTTTCGCAGGCTTTGCAAAAAGCCCCATGTGCTGGAATGGGGGCAGTGAAACCACACCTATGGGCCTGGCCTGGCATCAGCATTGATAACCCCCTCCAGGGGTTGTATTGTTCAGTTTATGGCCTCAGGTATTGCAAGACCAGATTCTGGGAAAGGGACAGTGACTTAATTATAGGCTATCAAGAATGCACATTAGGTTACTGGCACAAACTCAGATTGCTAGCCCCCCCCCCCCCCCCCCCAATGTCTTATTTCCCATCAGTAGAAAGCTTTATTTCTGTGGAATTACACTCCTGGGTTTCCAAAGTCCCATTTCCCTTAGTTTAGTCGTCATAGAGGAAGTGTAGCTGGGGCTTCAGTAGCGTTAAAACCAGAGTCAGTGTCCAGAGTTTCCTTTCCATGTTGGAGCCAGGTCCAGTCCAGCATCAGGCTAGCTTAGCTTGTGTTTCTCCGCTGCATCCATCAGTCCATTGCATGTGGGGTCCATGTGGCTAAAGACAAATGTAAGAGAACCAAGAGTCACAAGCCAAGTATGCCAAGAGTAACAAGAGAGAGAACTCCTTTGTTTAGGAGATTATGTATTCCCAACGGCTTGCAGTGGCCACGCCAATTCTGGGCATTCATCTCTGTCCCCAGGTTTGATTGACAGGCAAGAACCTTCCCTATGCCCCGCCAACTTTGCTGGGCATGTGTCTACCTTTCCTTTGTTGTATTCTTCCCCCCAGTGTTTTGCAGGGAATAGGCTGATGGTTCAGTTACCTGGGGAGTACAAAGTTGCAGCTTCCTGGTGAAGCTGCCCAAATGACATGCCTATAATGTCTGTGGCCTTCCCCTTGCTTCTTTCCTATTATTAATAACTAATTACAATGGTATCAATATTACCAAATTGTTTTTAATGATCCACTGACAATTTTATTAGTGTTTCCTTCAATCTTTTTTATATGTTTTTATTGATTTCAGAGAGAGGAAGGGAGATGGAAAGAGGGATAGAAACATTAATGGCGAGAGAGAATCATTGATCGGCTGCCTCCTGTATAGCCTCTACTGGGGATCAAGCCCACAACTTTTGGGCATGTGCCCTGACCAGGAATTGAACTTCAACTTCCTGGTTCATGGGCCAACACTCAATCACTGACCCACACTGGCTGGGTGCGTCTCCTTCAATTTTGTTGAAAACAAAGAATTGGCCCTGACCAGTTTGGCTCAGTGGATAGAGCGTTGGCCTGCAGACTCAAGGGTCCCGGGTTCGATTCCAGTCAAAGGCATGTACCTTGATTGAGGGCACATCCCTGGTGGGGGGTGTGCAGGAGGCAGCTGATCGATGTTTCTCTCTCATCGATGTTTCTAACTCTCTATCCCTCTCCTTCCTCTCTGTAAAAAATCAATAAAATATATTTTAAAAAAAAGAGAGATTTCAGAAGCATAATTTTAAAAAAACCAAAACAAACAAACAAACAAACAAAAAAACCCCAAAGAATTGGAAACCACCTAAGTTGTAAAAAGACTTGTTTAGAGTCACTCAGAGTTCTTGTCCACAGTGGGAGTCAGAACAGAGGTGCCACTTTCTCTTGTAAAACCCTCCATTCCATCAGGTGTGGAAGGGGATGCCTTGTCAGACGTGCCTTTTTGGAAAGGTCACTTTAACGAAAGAGCATAAAAAATTGAGGATCAGGAAATGGATTTTCTTCAAGCTCTCTTGATTTACAATACCTTTTGAGCATTCCTGGGGTACAAGACCCCAATTTTGTGACTTAAGACTGAAAATTACTTGAGAGCCAGAACTTAAATTTTGACTCCTCTGCTAGGAGTGAGCTCAAAAATATATATGACTTAAATACACAGTTGCCTGTGGCATCCAACCAATCAGCAAAAAATTGAGAGGCAGCACCCCCAGATATTTGTACATTTATAACTTACTAGAGGCCCGGTGCACAAAATTCATGCACAGTGGGGAGAGGAGGGGGGGCTCCCTCAGTTCAGCCTGCACCCTCTCCAATCCAGGATACCTCTCACAATCCTGGACTGCTGGCTCCTAATCGCTCCCCTGCCTGCCTGCCTGCCTGCCTGGTCACCGCTAACTGCCCCTGCCCCTGCCAGCCTGATTGCCCCTCACTGCCTCTGTGTGCTGGCCTGGTCACCCCTAACTGCCCCCCCCCCCCCCCGCTGGCCTTGTCGCCCCTAACTACCTCTGCTGCTGGCCAGGTTGCCCCAACTGCCCCTCCCTGCTGGCCTGGTCATCCCCAACTGCCCCCCCTTCCCCCCGCCAGCCTGGTTGCCCCATGCAGCCTGCTTATTCAGTCATTTGGTCATCCCTCACTAACCCCCCTGCCGGCCTGGTCGTAGGCAGCCATCTTGTGAGGGCATCAGGGTTAATTTGCATATTACCTCTTTATTATATAGGATATGCATGTACTACTACTGTCAACCATATGTTAAGTGGATTCAACTTTATTTTAGATTTTAAAACATAAAGTATATTTTATTCCCTACCCCCAGTGGATTGTATTGTGAATCTTCTTTACAACCCTGTGCTCTAGAGTTTTACTCAGAGTTGTTCTCAAAGTGCAAGGGCATGTGTGGAGGAGGGGTAGAAAGTGGCATGGGAACCTTTAAAAGCCTGGAGCTCCCCAATCTGTCAGTCAATATTTATTAAGATTATGTACCAGGCACTGTGCTGGGTTCTGAGAATACAAAATAATAAATTCTTATTGCACAACAGTGTGAATATAAGTTAACACTACTGAACTGTGTACTTAATAATGATTAAGATGGAAAAATTTTACGTTATGTGATTTTTTCCCCTCCACACACAAAAAGACACAGTCTCTGCTCTTAAAGTGATTATAGAGTTTCATGAAAGAAACACAGAATTCGCTCATTTGTTTATCTGGCAACTTTTAATTAATGGGATGCCAATCATGTCCAGACTCTGTGCAGGTCCTGGGGAGAAACCTGTAAGCAAAACCAGGCAGAGTTAGTCTCTCCTAGAGCTGACGGCCCATGACCAGGCAGGAATGTGCACCAGCC